GTGAGGAAACAGAACTTCAGAAACAAAGTATCTTGCCCAAGACTACACAGCTGGTAAGTAATAAAAATTACATTTGAACCCAAGTCTGAACTCCTGAGCCAGGGCTCTTAACCTCTGTAGTCTGCCACCTCTAGGTCCAAAGCTAATTAGCCTGGCTATTACAACATGCTACATTAGGGGCATATTTACTTAAAGAGATAGGAGAATGGTTATCTCCCACATCACTGTAATGAGACTGGCTCCTCTGAACTGAAAAAGACAAGAGTGTATTTCACCTATTCTTCTGCCTTAGATGTGAGCTGAATCAGGGACATACGATTATAGGAAGCTTCTTACAATGAGGAGGATGTCAAGCATTGAAACCAATTATCTTTGCAGGTGTTGTGACTGGGGAATAAACTAAACCAATATGGGATAACTGTAGTATATGTTGGGATTAAGAGCTCCACTTGGGAGAAAGTCTGCACTTAATAAGTACAGTCCGGGGTGCATTTTCCTTTAACCGTGGACCAGCCAGCAAGTAATTCAGAAGACGGGATGGGGTAGCATTACAAATAGGGGGCATTGACTCAGGGGGACTCTACTGGTAGGCTGCGACATGACACAAGATGTATGGTGCAGGATCCAATGGTTCAGGATCCAACTGGGAACATTCTAGATCCATTCTAGAGTAGATAAAGAGTCAAGAGGTTCTCTGGGTCCAATTAAGACATAAAAGTATGATGATGTGCTCTCTTGACTAGGGTTGGGGAGACAAACTCTCTTATGCATAACTAGGGTTAAGTTCAAATGGCTACAATCTCTTTGAAGGATAACTTGACAATATCTATTAAAATACAAAAGACCTATCTCCTTCAACCGAGCAATTCTACTTCTAAGAGTTTATCCCACAGATTAATTCAAATACATGCATAAAGGGGCACCTGGCTGGCTCAGTCTGGTTAAGCGTCTGACTTTGGCTCAGGCCATGATCTCTTGGTTCGGGAGTTCAAGCCCTGCGTCGGGCTATCTGTCTTAGCACCACTTCTCTTCGGATCCTCTGCCTCCCTCTGTCTCTGGCCCTCCCCTGATTGTGTTCTTCCTCTGTCTCGAAAATAAATATACATTAAGGGGAAAAAAATCTTTTTTTTTTTAAATTTTTTTTTTCAACGTTTTTTATTTTATTTTTGGGACAGAGAGAGACAGAGCATGAACGGGCGAGGGGCAGAGAGAGAGGGAGACACAGAATCGGAAACAGGCTCCAGGCTCCGAGCCATCAGCCCAGAGCCTGACGCGGGGCTCGAACTCACGGACCGCGAGATCGTGACCTGGCTGAAGTCGGACGCTTAACCGACTGCGCCACCCCGGCGCCCCGAAAAAAATCTTTTTTAACACAAAGGCAAAAAAACAAATACATGCATAAAGATGTCGGGGTAAGGATATTCACTGTTGCGTAACGTAAAACAGCAAACGTTTAGAAATAATCTAATACTCTGTCAGTAGGCACTGGCAGATGTCATTTCTCCAGGAAATGATGTGTGAACCTCCACTCTGGGCTTAGCGTCCCTCCTGTGTGCTTCTAAGCACCTTAACATCTTCTGTCTTAAAACCTCCAGTAAGGAAAGAATCTATTTACTTGTCTGTCTCCCCTACGTAAGGTTACTCTACTTCCCTCGTTTTGCAGATGAGGAAGCTTGGGCTCTGAAGGCCTGTGTGGCCCCCCCATCAGGGTTGAGGCGAGGGTACGTGCCAAGGCACAGACGTGGGTAAGGTGCTGGCATGTTGGGGACAGAGCAAGTGGTCAGTGTGACTGCTCTACAGGGTGAATGGGCTCCATAGGGAGGGCGTTTGGACTTTAACCCAGAGGATGTGCTTCAACCTCTGAGGGAAAGAGGCCTAAATGTAGAACCCAGAGTTCCCTCTTTCCAGGGAGTTAAGTCCGGCTAATAAACTCAGACTCAGGCAGGACAGAGTAAGTGAGTGAGGCTGAGATTCGAAGGCAACAGGATCCTCTCTGCTCTCTGCTCTCTGCCTGCAGACATTTGGTTTCCCTGTCTGGAATCTGGAATGGACCCCTCCCTGCAGGTTTAGGGCCTGAGGCCGGGGGCTCCGACCTGATCTGAGAACCAGAGAGAAGCGGCTTCCTCCCCAGGCTTCTCCAGTATTTTGCTGCTATGCCTGCTGCTTGGGAATGAGCTCTGAGCTCTCCTTGTGCGCGGCCGGGCTAGCCAGCCTTCTGTTTCCCTAAATGCATGTTGGAATCTCAAAGAGAAGCTGGATGAGGACTTTTTTTTTTTTTTTAGCCTAAGGGGCATGGACAATAAGTTGCCTGTCTGATATTTCCTTCTCTTTTCATAGTGTAGGCCTTCCTGGAAATCATTAAGGTGCTGCGGGGGATGATCTACAAAAGCTGGGGGGTTCAAACAGTGGTCTGGAGGGTATACGTGTCAATCCCTCCTGCCCCGTGACACACACACACACACACACACACACACACACACACACCACACACTCAGAGAGAGAAGTCACGAGTGACTTCCATTCTCCCCCTTACATCTTTTTCCTCCCCAGCCCCACATTTCTAGTGCAAACAGGACAGGAAGAAGGGTAGTAAGGCTGCTACCTTCATGAGTGAAGGAGATTCTGCCATTCTCGCTCTCCTGTGAGAGGCTATTTCACTCCCCCCCCGCCTTGAAAAATGACCAGTTGGTTGTTTGTTTTGTTTTGTTTTGGGGGGGGGGGGTTCTGACTTGAGATCCGTTGATTACTAAGCTTCTTGGCACTAATATTGGTCACTTCCTATCTAATTCAGAGATGGCAGAAACTTCAGGGGAACAAAAATCAGGAGGAGGAGGAGCCTTGTCTGGCAAGTGGGTTTAGCGGGGAAGTCGTGCTGGGAGGACAGTTCTGAGAAGAGATAGCCTGTTTTAGAAAGCTGGAAGTCAGAGCCCCAAGACTCTTGTAAACCAGAACCCAGTACCAGATTTAGGGGCCTGGACATATCTTCTCAGAAATAAGCAAATGTCCACTGAGATCAGTTTGAGTGTTTCTTCACTTCTAATTTTAAATTGGCATCTCCACCACTAAGGCTCATGGATGCTTTCAGTAAAGAATGTTTTCAAAGACGCATCCCCAATGTCCAACAGGCTGGAGGACTTCTTAACAAGACTTTCACGTTCTGGTGCCCTTTTACTTCTTTATGTTCGTCTCCTGCCACCTTGCCCCTAAAATTCACCTCCCCGCACGGAAACACACACAATTCTCCAACCACTCTCAATGATTTGCAGTTCTACAAACACACTCGGGCCTTTCAAATCTCCATGCCTTTCCTTCCCCAGCCTACATGCCCACTCTCACTCTTTTTCCCATCTCCACTTGCATTCTCACTCTTCTTAAAGATTCAGCTTCCTTCTCTGGATTTCCATTGTGTTTCAGAGAGCACTTACCACATTGCATTGGAATGTGAGCCTGCCTGCCTCTCTCCCTGTATAATTTCAGTGACTTTGTAATAATACGGTGAAGAATAATACTAAGAAGAATATGAGGAAGCATGTTGGTTAATCACTCAAAAAGAAAGGAGAAATTGGGCTGTGGCAAGGTCAAGCGGAAGAGATGGGAAGGTAGAGTTGTTACCGGTCCTTAACCTTTGTCTGTGCCCCTTAAGTGTTGTGAGGTATGAACTCAATGACCTTCTGGGAAGAAGTCACATCAGCCCTGCAGAGAACGAATGACTCTAGCAGACAGGTGAAGGACTCAGGAAATAAGACTTATAGTGAACATATCCCTGAGATGATCATATGGTCTCTTGCTTTCTTCCTTCAAGTAACATAAAATCACCGTGCAGGGTGGGATCTGGATCTGGTCATGTGTGTCTAGATGTGTTAGGGTTGGAGCGGCTCTTAGGGGAGTTAAAAAAAAATGCTAAAAACTAAAATTCTGCATTTTTAAGGATTTGTCTTAAACTTCCTCCAAAGAAATTTCTGGATGGTAGATTTACCATCTGGATGGTAAATAGTATCACTTGTTTAAGTTATGGCTAAAGCGAGCATGGCCTGCCTGCTGCTACCAAAGGCCATCAGTCTGTCCAGCTATACTGGGGCAGGGGGAGCATCTGGGTGAGTCTGCTAGAACTGTGACCCTTATAGCCTGGAATGAGGGCCACACAAGTACCATTCCCTGTAAAACCAAATAGAATTGGAGCACCTGGGTGGCTCACTCAGTTAAGCATCTGACTTCCGCCCAAGTCATGATCTCATGGTTGGTGAGTTCGAGCCCCGCCTCTGCGCTGTGCTGACAGCTCAGAGCCTGGAGCCTGCTTTGGATTCTGTGTCTGCCACTTTCTCTGTTCTTCCCTTCCTCATGTTCTAGCTCTCTGTCTCTCAAAAATAAGTAAACATTAAAACTAAGTAGGTTCTGGGACTTTGGGGTGTACACTCGTCAGAAATGGGACTGAAAGCCTTTTTAAAAATCAACCTTAAAAATTCATTATGAATAATTACAACTTGACCCTAGAAGGTTCCAAAGGGCTCATTACCTCAATGACCTTAAGCACCAAAATAATATTGCTTGTGCTGAAATACGCACCGGGTGGGCATGTATGAAAAGCTGAGGGTGGGGCACCTGGGTGGCTCAGTCGGTTAAGCGTCAGACTTCGGCTCAGGTCATGATCTCTGTCTGTGAGTTCAAGCCCCGCGTCGGGCTCTGTGCTGACAACTCAGAGCCTGGAGGCTGCTTCAGATTCTGTGTCTCCTTCTCTTTCTGCCCCTCCCCTGCTTGCACTCTGTCTCTCTATGTCTCTCAAAAAATAAATAAATGTTAAAAAAAAAAAAAAGACTTTTTTTTTAAAGAAAAGCTAAGTGTGACCTAATTCACTTCCAAACATCAACTCCGGGGTAGAGAGTAACAGGAGGGAGGTCTTGAGAGGGGAAGGAAGAGCTCAGAGGACTGGGGTGGGATGAGAACGGCTCAAACATGCTGCGTGACACGGAAATGGTCAGCCACCACACTTTATGGCGCTTCTTGGAAACCACCGCCAAAGGACCGCAGGCAAGCAGAGGTGGTTTCGCGAGGTCTCTGCGGGTGACAAGCGGGAGAGGCTGCAGGTGAAGGAGCCCGGGGAGGGGACAGTGGCGCCCCGGCCCCCTCAGCTCTCCACGACAGCGGTGACCTGCGTTGCCGGGCTCACAGCCAAGTGGGAAGTGGGGGCCCCGGGGGTGTCCCCGTGCTCTGGGAAGGCCTGTGGCTCCTTCAGTTCCAGCACCACCCGGCTCAGGAGGCCTTTGAGCAGCTGCATTTCCCGCAGCAGAAGGTCCACGTCGGGTTTCAGGGCTGCGGCGGCCGATGGCTCCCAGGGCGTCGGCGGGGCGCAGGCCGGGGGCCCAGCAGTGGGGGCTCTGCCCGCGGGGAACCGCAGCCCCGGAGAGGTGATGTTCGGGACGGAGGTGACCGGAGCGGCCGATCGGGACACAGGGGGCTTTCTGAAGGAAAGCGGCTGGTTGCCGGGCGCCAAGGCTGCGGCCTGTGGGACTGGGGCGGTGGTGGACGCCGAGTCCGGGGCGGCACCTGCGAACGCAACACACGAGAACCGCGCGGCTGCTCTCACCCTCCCGCGGCCTGGGCGCTCGCGTGGGCACGCGGGGTACGCGGGCCGGAGGGGAGTAAGGAGGGACGGCGTGGAGTGGAGGGAAGGGAGGAGGGGGGGGCGTTGAGGAAGGCAGAGTGGATGGAGCGGAGAGGACGAAGGGAGGGTAGCAGTGAGGAGGGTGGAGAGGATGGGGTGAAGAGGAGGGAGGGAGGGGAGGGCTGGAAAGGGGAGGGGGTGCGGGGGAGGGGACAGGGAGGAGGGGAGGGATGGGGAGGAGAGGGGGGATGCGGAGGGCAGGGATGGGGACGGGGTGGAGAGGAGGGAGGGGAGGGGTGAGGAAGACGGGGTAGGGAGGGGGAGGAGAGGAGGGGGAAGGGGAGGGGTTAGGGGGGGCGGGGGGGGGGGGGGGGCGGCGCGCCGGGGGTCGGGGGGCGTCCCCGGGGGTGCGGTCACTCACCGCGCCCGGG